CCAACTTCAGCAGCAAGCTCAATGGATGAGTCAGTGTTGCTTCCACTGCTGGGGACTGCTAAGTCAGTTTTCCAATCACTCATTGAAGGTACGTCATTTTCACCTATTTCTGAAAATCAATCTTCATTGGAACTGATGAAGTTTAATTGTTCTTCAGTGTCATCATCTGATGATTTGGTGGAAAGAAGACTAGGGATTGAGCAGAAGGATTCAGAGTCAACAGCGAATACAGCATCTTCCTCAGAATCATCTTTGGCTGCTGCATTAGCAGCACCTCTGGTGCCAGCATTGCTGCCAGGTGTCCTCTCAGGTGACCCACAATTCCAGCATGGTGGGCATGGTCTGTTGCCACCACCTCTCTCTCGGTAGGAACCTCTGTTACCTCCTCGGCCTCCTCAACCACAGGATAATGTGTCTGTCACTCCCATAGCCTCATCAGTACCATGTGGCTGGGCACTGTTATTACTACACATTGAGTGAGCATCCTTTCTGCCATGGTATTCAGGTTCCTCAATAATCAATGATATGAGGATATCTGGGTCAATGGTTTGGGTCAAACTGTAGAGTCAAGCAGTAGCTAGTTGCCTGGAGGCAAAACTCGCAAGGTGGCTAGGGAGGGATTGAATTATGATGGTCCAGTGTGACAATCATACTGGTGCTAGGCGCATATGATCAATACCACAGTTCTTCTCATCTTCAGAAAAGGAGATAAAGTGCAGATCATTAAATCCATATATATTGACCCATCTGCTCTTACTCCAGTCTGGTTCTAGGAATCTGCCCTCCCATGTCCTATCCATGTCCACCTATCTCCACTGGTGTGTTATTTATCCCAAATGTTATTGCTAAATGAGCTGCAGGTCTTATTACACAACTACTCATGTTCCGCAGTGCATGATGTTTTATTACCTATAGACTCATCACACACTCACTAACTATGCTACAATTCTCACCTACACATTCCAGACATTCACATGCTATGATACAGTGGCTCAAAAAACTGTCTGCATGTTTTGACATTTTTCACTATCTATGATATTGTGTGAGAATGAACAAATGCGTTTAGGACATGGTTATACCACATTGTAGTATGGCTTCAGGGCTTTCATTTGAGCCATACACCGTGGGAATCGGTGGAGATATGGTGGAGATACAAGGCTCACAAAATGGTGACTCATGCAGACAGTTTTTTGACTCAAGTATTTTACAATAATAACCAGGTATTCTAGTATTTTGTATGACCTCCCTTGGCTTTAATTACTGCCTCTATCCTTCTAGGCATACTCTCAATTAATTTCTGGCAATCCTCAGCTGTGATCTTCCCCCATTCCACTGCTACTCTCTCCCAAAGCTCCCATACTCCTTTAGGGGGGTTTTCATAGGCTTGAAGCTTTTTCTTGAGTGTTCCCCAGAGATGTTCAATGACATTGACATCAGGAGACTGTGCTGGCCAGTCAAGAACATTGATGTTATGTTCTTCAAACCATTCCTTAGCTCTTCTGGATGTGTGCTTGGGATTATTATCCTGTTGGAAAATGATATCTTCTTCATCAATCCCTGATTCTGCCAAGCTAGGCAGCAAGTGGTCATTTAAAATGTCCACATACTGCTCAGCATTCATCTTCCCCTCAACCTCAGCAAGCATTCCCACACCATTCCATCCCATACAGCCCCATACCATTAAAGAACCTCCTCCAAACTTGACAGTCCCATTAACCTCTCTGTCTGTTAGGCCATCTCTCTTCTTTTTTTTTCCATACATATACCTTCCCATCTGACCCAATCCTATTGATTTTGGTCTCATCTGACCATATAACATGCTTCCAGTCCTCTACAGTCCAGTGTTGATGAGCTAAGGCAAAGGCTAGTCTTCTCTGCCTATGTTTGATGGAGAGAAGAGGCTTTTTCTTCTTTGTTACTGCCTTGAGATGAGCTGCCTTGAGAACATTTCTCACAGTTTGTGAAGAGACAGGGGTAGTGATGGTGGAATTGATATAATGGGTGGCTTGGACAGCATTATCAGCCTTTCCTGTAGTGATATGTTGGATAATAGCCCTTTTGTTAGTAGAGGTAAGCTTGGATGGACATCCTCCACAAGAGTTTTCCTTGTCTGGGTGGCTTTCTTTGATAAATTTGGCCACAGTGGACTTGCATACTCCAGTTCTAGAGGAAATTTGGCAAGCAGAGAGGCCAGCATAAGACAGAGAGAGGATATTATCTCTTTGAGCAGAGGAGATGGCTTTCATGGTGATTATGACTATGATACATGAGATATTCTGGTTTATGTAGTTAGATATAGTCATAAAATAACATAATGACACCACTTCATAATTTATATAATAGTGGCATGATTTTTGTGGTATCATAAATAATGATTTATATAGCTTTAATATATACTCAAAAAACTGTCCACGTGAGTCATCATTTTATAAGCCTTATGTCTCCACCATATCTCCACCAATTCCCACGGTGTAGCGCTCAGATGAAAGCCCTGAAGCCATACTACAATGTGGTATAAGCATGTCCTTGAGGCATTTGTGAGTTCTCACACAATATCATAGATAGTGAAAAATGTCAAAACATGCAGACAGTTTTTTGAACCACTGTATAAATGACTGAAGTACATATGATTGAGTAGTTTTTCCTTTCCCCCAGAATTAGCTCTATAGGAGAGTCATTCTCATGTTATTTTTGTAGACCTTGCACTATCCATCTATTTTGCTCCTTCTTGACAATCCTGTGCAATTCAACCGCTCTGAAGTCTATACCACTAGGATCTTACCCTTAAAGCTCTTGCAAGAATACCCAACCTGCAACCAGTAGTTTAACACTGTTCTTCACTCATGCTATATCCCTTGCGACCAGCCACTCCATAGAGTGCAGTTGATTTTGTGCGTGTTACAACTGCCACACTGGCATCTGACATCCAATTACGTTCGCATGTATCTTCTAACAGTTCATCTCGCTCCTGTGATATTAACATCGGTCAATTTTTGCCTGCACTCATGGTCGATTCTTTGGTATAGGAATTCAGAGGTATACATATGGCCCGTGTTCAAGTTTCTTAGGCCAATATAGATTATAACTCCTTCACTCACTTACTTTCCTCACACATAATTGAGGGAAGTGCTTCAATAGCAGTCCTCTCGGGCCAATCAATTAAACTTGCGCCTCTTAGGATAAGTAGTGCTAGTTGCTAACTGCCTAGTACCATTTTCTTCTTCACACCGGTAGTCCTTTTCCTCTATTTGGACTCCTACTGCTGACAGCTCATCATGCTTAGCACATAGCTCGTCAAGGAACATGTATACATTGCCTCCACCAGGACACTTCAATTCTAGAAACTTCATGTGCAGGTCAGTCTGTGCATACACACACTTCTTGGTGTATTCACGCACAATCTCCATCCAAATTGCGACAACATCAGGCAAGTTCCATACACATAACACAGTAGAGTCGGGAATTCATTGGGTAAGCAAGTGTTTGGCAAGGTTTTTGTGTTTCTGCCACTGAGCGAGTGTGACTGGGTTGGGAGGGGATATGGTAGTTGTTCCTCTGGATGTCATGGATGGTCTGATGGGCTTGGGGTTAGTCCTGTCAAATTGTTTCTATAAGTCCTTTGCTTCAACAGCAATCTGGAAGTGCAACAAGAAGATCACCCAATTGGTGCCCTTAATGTTGAATTTGGGCACATTGGTACCCATAGTGACAGGCACAGTAGTAGACATTGTGAATGTACAGCTTTTCACAGGAAAACATGAGACATAAGGCTATTAGAGCTCAGGGCTCATAACCTGAACGATAAGTACAAGTCACATGGATCTGGGACAAACAGATACTCTCAGATTGTGCATGTGAAGGCAAATGTCTTTGTGTATTCACCTGGGACAAACAGATACTCTAAGGCAAGTTAGCATAGGTGAAAGTAAGTAAAGTAAGTGTCATACCTCAGATTGTGCACATAAAGGCAAACATCTGAGGTATTAGTTCAAAAAGGCACTGGCTAAATAGAACAAAAGATCTTGTATCAATGAATATGTGTGAGACCATGATAATGGTATATGTGGTGCTGGCCAAAGCAGAGGAAGGATTCATATACATAATGGTAAGTAAGATTATAAGAGCAGACAAAAGAACTCAGTGAGAACAATAACAGGAACATACAAGACAGGCAGTTGGATGTTTTCAGCTGCAGTGCCCTTGCTATTCCAACAAAGAGATCAATCTATACTTGTGAATCCACTCATGTGGGCAACAGCCTGATCCTCTACTATCCTGATGGCATTACACACATGCAAACACCAAGAACCATTAAGTACATTTTCAGGACCAAGCATGGAGTGGGCTTCACTGTGCAGTGCCACCTCCCACTGCACTCTTACCCAGACCCTTTTTGCCACTATCTTTACTTCCTGGCTCAGTTACACTCATTGTCACTTGCTGACCACCTTGAGGTTGTTATGCCTGACTGGGTAGTATCACATTTCACATGGTGGAACTTTTCTCCACAGCACATTGTTGCCATGTTTCTGTGTCATGTGCATGCCCCTCTCTCTCCAATATGTTTCAACAGTCTCGCAATTCAATAGGATTGAGTTCTTGACAGAGAAAAATGAGAAGAAGTCATTGTACTAGAAGCAAGTAGTCTTCTGAGGTGCAGATTATGTATATAGTAGTAATATAAAAATCCTTCATGCTTAGTGAGTGTGAGGCAGGCAGGTTAATCCAAGCAAACATTTTGGGTGGGGGATTGATGGGTACTTGTATCAGGCAGGAGGTAGGTATACATTTCTATATCACTTACATATTTATTACTGATACTTTATGGCACTTTGATGCAGTTTATCTGGTAGAATACCTGTTATGGCCAAGCCAAGCAAGTGGTGCATGGCATTCCAGAACAATGAATCATGAATCAGTCTGTAAATCATAAGGTGGGGTAGGCAATGGATATCTATGACTTCTGCTCTCTTCCCCTCCCTCCCCCCAGCTCTTCCTCCCTAAATGTGCTCTGAACCCAACAGGTGCTCAATCTCATTTAACTCCTGCCATAGCCAAATCACCACTTTGTGCCTATCCTCCACCATCAGTGCTAGGAGGCATCTGTCACAGCACAATATTTGGATGGGGGGGTGAGCAGGGTGTGGCATGTGTGGATGACTTTGTGTGTATTCTACATTGTCTTGTATGATCTCCTGTGCATAGTCCCATAATGCCTAGAGATGTCATAAGTTGTTAACAGAGATGAGCAGCAATGGACTTACTATCACAGATGGTGTTACTGCAAAGGTTTCAGCATTCTCAAGGTCTCCAGCCTGCTCTACCCCAGCCTGCTCCTCTGCCCCAACATGATGTGCTCAGCCTGTTCCTCCACCTCCCCATGTAAAGACTGATATTGTATAGTTAGTGTACTCACTCAAACCACAGTATAACTTACATTATTATCTTCATTAATGTCAACTTCCTGCAGAAAATGCATCAGCTCTTGCATCTGATCAGGCTACTGACAACTTACATTTTCATGCACTTCAGCCATTGTTGTTGTAGCAAGATTAACATGTTTCAATTTCGATGAATGAATCTCTGAAGTATCTGAAGTCACTTCATGACACAGCATCACATTCACACATCAAGACTTTTCAGTCTTTCCAATAAGTAAAGGATCACATCGCATTACAGATACCTGTGTCCTTTTAGCAGGGACCATCCAAGCAGTGATAGTTTCAATGCCCTTTTACAGCTTCTTGTCAAACTATTATTTACCATACATAAGCATAGACCTACTTTTTGGCATGGTGAATGCTTAGTGCCCAATCAATGCTCAGTGAGTGCCTAAGCAATGCCCATTATAATTCCCCATAGGTTTAACTTTGCATTTTCCTGGCTCATTCAAATGTAGGGCAAATTCAAAATTTCCTGGAGTGGCAAAACACTTGCTATTATGTAATGATGTGCAGAACATTTTGCCACACTTCAAAATTTTGAATTTATCTGTGATAAAATAGGGTGGTACAAGTTCATATTTCGCCCAACATTCTTCGAAAGGAAAAACATCAAGTATTTTATACACTTCAAATTGGTGTCAAAATGGGTTGTTAAGCTTTGTCATTTTGCCCTCAGTCGCAATTTGCCGTTGTCCCAGTAGTAAAATTCAAAGTGCGAATGGCTAATTTAGTAATTAGTAAGTTATCATTCTCATTTCGATTAAAATATTGCCGGAGGCAAAACTCTGAAACCACCGGTGTGTCATCGCCCCTCAACACTCGAACCGTGGGGCTGGGAAGGAGCTTGAGATGACATATACACATTCCAAATATTCGTAAATTTTGGTTGCTGAACAGGCTCAAGGTTGAAGAGTAACTTGAAGCTAGGCCAATCATCACACTTCGGACTTCCATCCGGAATTCGGCTCAATCCTCCGGGATGAGCACTGCAAACTGCCATTGTCGGCTACCTGGAAAGTCTTGTCCGATATTCGACTCTGAAACTTGTGCCTTATGGCATGGACCACTTGCTAGCGGCGGCCATGTAAGTTAAGATTCCTGTGCATTTCAACTTTATTCTAACGGTCTGGCTACAAGTCCGAGGTATACTGTTAACTAGGGCGGTGCTAAGACACCGCCTATTCACACTTGCGCAACAATTCCGGTCGATCACACTGTTCTTCTGTGGGTCTTTCCACTATGGCATGTCCGACATTGTTATTCATTCATTTTGAGTGTAGGTGCCTTGGCATGGACAATACGCTAGTGGATGCTGCCACAGGCCAACATAACCGAGGACAGCAACATGCCACAAAGGGAGCCGTTTATAAAGCCATTGAATTCATGGAAACTACCACCATCCTCTTCTTCATTAATGTCCTCCCCAATGCTTGTTGACTACTTACAAAGACGTGAGAAGCTTATCACAGAGGACCGCGCCTTGCGAATAGACCGTGTTCGTGCGAATTACACCGCGGTTGAACTGAAGGCAGATGAAGTTGTGCGCTCCATCCGTGCTAGAGAGGCTATTACTGTTTGGGGGATTAATCACGAGCATATCCCTCACCCATATCCAGGGATGGAGTTCTTGAATGGTATGATGCTCGGCTCGCACTTAGCGCTTCATCTCACATCTACGTGTAGCCAAAGAAATCATTTTACAGACGGATCTCTACAGTAAAATAGTCTCCAAAGTAAGCATAGAAAATCACCGTGCGTCCCATCACCAATCATCTTGACCGCAATTCCCCTGTAGATGCCAAAGGGTGGGCTATTGCATGTACACCAGAACGCCTCTGTGGAGGCGAGAACACTTCTTGATCTGGCATTGGGTCATCCCGCGATACATATCCGCGTCCCTGGTCCGTTAGACACAGCGTCTCTCGAAACAGTACTGCCCACAATCCAGCCAATTCCCGTGGAGCAGTACCCTGCTGCCGATGTAATTGGTATCACAGATGTTTTATACACCGGTGGCTGGGTTCCTATGAAGAAGGCGCGAGAGCTCTTCGATCCTGCATTGGGCGGCCCTGCTGGATTTGATGAGTGGGTGCTCAGCGCCTTCATGATCAATCCCAGTGATGCGTACAATACGTACAATACACCGATGAAAGTGAGCTCCATACTGACATGTAACCTGGTGAACACGTCCTTAATGTGAGACTTGCAGATCTGGCTGAAGTTTGGAAGTACCTTTGGCGTGACTGACGTGAGTCTGTAGCGTACCGGAAGTCAAGATGTGCGCATGTACTGATGAAACTTAGCCCATCATTCGTTTCGTGCCGATTCAAAAGGAATACTTGCGGATGTTCATTCGCTCGTCAATAGATGATGGTATCTCGTATATCGAGGTACGAACTAGTTTTTTTAAAAAGTAAGTCAGAAAGACATGTCCATGATTGAGATACCTGACATTTCGTTAGATACATACTTGCAGAGGACGCGAAGACCAAACTTGAATTACGCGAATTACTCATGATATTCCGAGAGGTCACAAACGAAATAAAAGCGGAAATGAAGGCGAAAGGTCAAGAAGACGATTTTGCTGGGTTGAAGGTTAGCTTGGTCTCAGTTGGACCTATGCAAGCTCAGGCCGATCTTTTTCCTAGATTATCTATAATACCCTGAGAATTGTCTCCCCCGAAGAATTGGAATCGGAACTAGAACAGTGCAGCAGATTCAAGCAGGAATTCCCGGACCTTATTGCTGGCAAGTCTTGCGGGTTTGTTGTAAGTTAGCAGACCCAGATTTAATAGTTCTATCTACCAGGATTTGATCTCGTGGGCCACGAAGATGGGGCGGAGTGTAAACCGCTCATTGATTACGCAGAGCCACTTCTGCGTTTCGCCAAGCAGCATCCGGACATCCCATTCATCTTTCATGCTGGTGAAACTTTAGGTGATGGCACTGCAGCGGACATGAACCTGTATGATGCGATTCTTCTTGGAACAAAGCGTATTGGACACGGGTTAGGTGCATTGTATAGCATAAAGCGCTCGCTAACTCATTGCATAGATTTTCACTAGCTAAGCATCCCAAATTGATGCAAATTTGTCGAGAAAAGAAAATCGCAATTGAAGTCTGCCCTATATCGTGAGTGACTCGTGCAAATAGGCACCTCCAATTGATTTTGATCTTTCGATAGAAATGAAGTGCTAGTGGGTTTTTCTGTATACTGTCTTGGAGCCTTATGTTGACTCAAGAAATGATAGCGTCTTACCTCAGCTATGCCTATGCACCCCCTCCCAATAATCATGAACCAAGGCATTCCGATGGTACTGTCTTCCGACGATCCTGCGATGTTTAATAGTATGGGGTTGTCTTTTGATTTCTTCCAGGTGACCTCTTCTTTGTTTCTCTCTTGCTGGAACCAGACTCATCAGCCGCTTCTAGGTACTGGTAGCAAGTGAAGTAACGGGGCTCCTTACTCTTGGCCAGATGGCCCGTGACAGCATTACGGTGAGCCATGTCCTTGACCTTGTCTCTTGCATTGTGTAATGTTCCCTATGTAGTATTCCATGCTAGACGAACGGAGTAAGCGTACAGCTATGGATGCATGGGAACGACAATGGGCCAAATTCGTAGAAGAGGTTGCGGCGATGGATCCGTGATTCAGTGAAACTTTGGCTCCCCGAAATACCGAAATACCGAAATATAGAGCTTTGGATGTTGTGGAGATGCGTAAACTTATCATACTTGTGTCAATATTCAATGCGGGTACTCCTTATGACCCTTCCGCTACGGACGGTATCATACTACTACTAGTATTAGACTAAACCCCTACCGTTTCACTGGTCTCATGTAATTGCCGGTGGTGCAACTAGGGCTGCATACAATACGACAATATCCCTTGGTAACTAATCGCACTCCGGAGTGAGTGACAAAGTCATCGACGTCTTTCAAGTTGTTGGTTCAATATAATGACTGCAACAGCCGCGAGTTCATTCGAAACCTTGAATCCTACGAAGCAGCGTGGTGAGGATTACAAGAGAATCACATCGGATAACAATATCATCGTACAAGTCAGAGACATGACTTCTGTTCACGATATGATGGATGTCAGAACAGTGCTAGAGATGCTGTAGCTATGAGTATCGTAGCACAAGCTCTAACGCTGTATACCTTGCAGTACTTGCACAGAACACTTTCTCTAGGATTTATGTCATGTAGTTATGCTGACTTACGACAGAAAATAAAAATATCATTAGCAAATCGTTACTGGTTCACTGAGCGCACTAGCTGGGAAGGCGTTGTTCGTTAATTGCCTACCCAACCATATTGTAAAGTTGCTCAATACCTTCAGAGTCGGGTATATTGATGCGGTTTGCATGTCTGATGATAATTCAAACACGACGGATAGAATGAGGTGCGGGAGTTCCCTTTCAACAATTCCAATTGAAGATGCTAAGACATTGGGTAATATGCATGGGACCGAGCGAAGCATGTATACGGATGATTGTGGAATACAGCAGGCCAAAGGTGTTACTGAGTTAGTTCCTTAACAATACTCGAGGAGTCCGAGGTTAGCCCTCCCACGAGCACTTTGGGTAAGTAATGCCTGGGATGAGCACGGGATCTCCATACCGCAGAATAATAATTAGGATGGCACAGCAGAATTATAGTGTTGGAATAGGAACTCACGCATGAAAGAGTAGGCTTGTGCCAACGGGGGCAAATATTGTAAGGAGACGACGTTGGACAGATCCGGTGGGTTGGAGCTTCCCGATGATCGAGTCATATTCGACACTACCACCTGGGAAGCACAAATCAACCGACATAGGTCCGCGAATGGGCGGGGCAGTATGTACCAGGCGATTGTAGACAGGTGGCGAGATTAGCAAGATGATCGTGCTAATCATTGTAGAGAATTTGATACTGTTCAAATCCATCATTAGTAGGCTGATCACCGTGGTCAACGTGGGTCAACGAAGTTGGTCATCTATATTTCTTGTGGTGGGATGTACACGTCGTGAAATGAGCCCAGGTTATGATAAACCTGAACGTTCCATGTAACTTTTTGGCCAACAGTTGCCAAGTGAAATTGATATGGCATTCGTCCTAGTGCCACGCTAATGGCACGTCACACGTCACGCCGCGTCAAAATAGCTACACCTATTTCGTTTCTCTTCTGACTCACTTGGTTGACGAGTTCTGGCAACTTGAAGGTGTTGCTTTCAGCATCCCTACGCTCCTCTGAGAAATGGTCATGTTAAGGCGCCAAGAACGCTCGGCAGTGGCCAATATTTAATCTAAGGCAAATACTAATTTGCTGATTATTCTTTCTGTGATCACTGCAGCCCGCTGGCTCGATTTGACTATCACCAACTTGGTGTGCCTCAGGCTTGCGTGTGGATTGCCAGGGAGATGGATTTCATCAACAGAGCAGCATGTCTTCTCGGTATAAAACTTTCTCCGAGTGATCTTGGAACAAGTATGAAATCAACTCGATTGAGTTGAAAGGACTCCTGTTGCGGTGAGTAGCACTCTTGTGTCACACTATGTGCACTTTATTGAACTAACATACAATAGCTCTTCTAAGACTTTGTCATAGCAATTTTGCACACATCGCAAAATCAAACTCTCCGTCGGTGTAGTTTTCTTATCACGGTCGCATCATAGGCTGAAGCATAGTTATACCAGATACCATGACGCTCATTCAAATCGTGTGCCTTATGATCCTTGTCGCTGCCTATGCCGCGCCGATGCCACGAATAATCCTCCTCAACAATCCATCACCGTGCATCCCTGATCGACCTTAGAACTGCCCAAAAGGGACGGTGGATTACCATTATGGCCCTACGTGCTGGTTATGCTTTAACAATCAAACCTAAGGTTAACTCGGTCATTTTTGCTCTCAATACAAGTAAATTGTATGTCCTGTACTGTTTTCCAAAAAGATTGAGTACTTAGCACAGGCAAGATCCCTCGGTCAAGTACAAACAGAGACGCAGCATCGACTCTCTTCTGACAACTTTGGGGTGTTACTTGACCACTATCCCTGCACTCTGCTCAGAAATGGTCGAGGGCTGTGCATTGATCCGAAGCCACGGTCCACGTAGTGGAGTGTAGATGACATCGACGTTGCTCATCGTAATTGCACTTGCACAGGCCAGTATAGGTTCCAATAGCTTACTCTGTATCTATTGTTTATTCGAGGTATACCAGGGTATACTGATTTTCTAGGACGTTGGGTATCTTTGACCTCCCTCCCTTTCTGAGATCGATCCACTTGGAAAGTTGAGTCGTCGTATTGTGTTCTACTGATTCGTCAATGTCTATTTGAACGCTAATATTATTGGATGCTGAACTTGTTCACGCAAACGTCGATGCCAAGCTGAGAGTCCCTCTCGAGTCTCGACGTCCTGTTTTCTCACTTGCCCTTCACTCTTGCTTGGTGTTTTCACTTTTTTCTCGCGACACAGGTCTCAGGATGTATTTATCCTGTACAGCAGACAATGTCACTGTAATGCAGTGAATAGCAATCAGAACCGGGTACTGGAGTCTGGGGCAGACGCAACGCTACGATAAGATGTACGTGTGGCCTTTGTGTATTCTGGCTCGCTTGAGCACGGTGGGTATATGCCATCCCCTTACAGGCGTCAGACCGTCGTTTCCGTTAGGAATGCCGTCGCTATATAGATCGGCCCTCTCCGAGTCGCTTCCAGATACGCTCTTTCCTACCTTCTTTTCCTGTTGCTCTGTCGTTCCGAGGACCGAATCCCGCCGTATGCACACACCAGCCACGTCATGTTCCTAACTTCAATACAATACCTTGCTCAAACTCTGATAACCTGTACCAGGTGGGAGAAGATCAGCGTTATACCAGAAGATCCGGAACGAGAACAGCACTGATTATCTCTGGGCGACACAAAATATATACAAATTATCTGAACCACAAGTTACGAAGATGTTAATCTCATCTTGGAAGAGCGCCAGCGCGTGTAACTCATAGTGGAAGAAGCTTAGGCCAAAGATGTCCTTGTGCCGTTCATTGGAAATGATCGCCATCCAACTTGACCTGTGGGTATGACTCCTGGAGTGCTCCCATGGCGTCACTGACTAGTACTAGACCTTGACCAAGTACTACTGTAGAGCTACGACACTAGGTTCATCACAGGTCACAGCCCTTGACGAATCGAATCTATTTGGTGTGACCGTCACATGAGTTTTGGCGGGACGAAGCTAATTTGTGACATTCGGAAAAAAACATAGGAAAAACATAGGTTGTGCACTAATGGGACCAAAAATTGTTATACATCGAATTTGTGATGCGTCTTGAAGCAAGTTGTCACAATCACGAAGCAGCGGCATGTCATATGGTTGCAAGCGGTGAAGCATCCGCGGGCGAATCTATTTGGGTGTGGTCACAGGTCACATGGACATTCGAACCACTGAGTATGACATAATCACACGCTGCACGTGACGAACCTAGTGTCGTAGCTCTACAGTATCTCCTACCGCTCCACTCTGGTACGGCCAGCTGTGCATTGATCAGGACACGTAGTCTACATTGTTAGCGTCGGTAATATATTGTCCATCGTATTCAAGTGCTTGCACAGGCAAGTGTAGGTTCCTAGTTTACCCACATGTACTTGAAAAATGTAGGCGGTCGAGCTATAGATGTATGGTTCACTCAGAAATTTAATTAATTAATTCGAGAGGAGCTTCCAAGTGGAGAGAACAGTACTCATAGCTCCTTCGTAGCAGTCCAAAGCTCAAAAACTAGTTCGAAAATCCTCGAATCAGGGTACGACCACTCAATTGTTCCAGGGAATGTAACAGAAAATAGAATCAGTCATCTACAGTACCTAGTACAGACCCACAAGGTAGAGAGCATCTAGGACATCAATCAACGGCAGCATGCAAATTTGTATGCTTGAAGACAAGACACCAACTAAAATTGTCAAACAAAACATGTTTGATGTAGACCATGTCACTCACAGGCTGCTAGGCTCGAACACCGAGAATTGAAATGTTTGCAATGAGGTGCAATAGTAGTGTGGAATGTTCTGCGTAGGTATGGTATGGTATGCCGGGAGGGTGCGAAGGTGTTTGGAAGGTGCGAGAGGGCGGTAGATGGTGCAATAATCTAAGCAGGGTAGACGAAATTTCTGAAGTAGGTGCGGGGAGGCGTAAGTTGGAGGTAAGGGGGGATTGTCATAGAATACTGGAGGTATCGGAAGACGAGACAAGGACTGAAAAGGTGCGAGGGGCAGGGTCAGGGTGTGAGCAGCAAGAAAGTATGAATCCGCAACCAAGCTGGAAATCTATGATCACTGTACAAAGAACAAAGAATGAGCGTACACTAGAGTTGGAGTCTGGACTGTCGGGTCCCTTGAGTAAGCACGTAGAAGTTGCCCCCGACAGCGATTGGTACCCCTCACTTGCTCCTCACCGTGACCATTGTCAGATCAAGAAGGGAGAGAGAGGATCCCTATTCGATTCCGTTCAACTATTCCGTTTTCCAAGAGTAACCTCAAGATCCTCAATGGGAGAAGCAGGTCTTGGCGGAGTGGATTGGTTGATCCGTGGGCTACTATCACAGATCCTTGTTTTCAAGAAAGTTGATTTGGATGAGGGTCCTTGGGTCAGTTGTCGTTCTTAGCTTGTCTGGTATGCATATATGAATGCTACCTATCCTGACTTTATCAGGTGAGCGGAAAACAAAGGGGAGGAACGATATGTTTCTAGAGTGTGCTTAGTACCTGGATATCTCATGTGTTGACACGAAGTTCTGATGCCACTACAAGATATATCCAGGTACTACGTCCAACACGCCTCGCAGAGGTGAAACAATCAATTTAACCTTAACAGCGTCCCAACAGGCATTTCAGAGATAAACTCTACGATCTGTTCGAAACGCAGCGTCACCACCTGCAACGATCTCCCCACATGTAAAAATACCGAAAATTCCGGGCGGGTGATGATTGATGACGCTGCGCCTCCGATTCTTATTCTAGGCACTGCAAAACCTAATATTAACGTCCGACGATAATTCAACTAAAACACGGTACGGACCTGAAGAGCAAAGGTGAAACTTTGAAGACCAACCGAGCTCTGCAATCTATTCAAAACGCAGCGCCACAACCTGTAATGTTGTCTTTGTGTATTCATCATGAAGCACAGCCTACAGGTGATGACCCTGCAATCCTGATTTCAGACACTGCTAAAAATATCGATGTTTCTAAGAGAATATCAACAATGATCATCTAACGAAGCCAAGGTACAAACCTAGAGTAAAACTTTGAAGTGCGATACTCGAAACGCAGCGCAGCCACTTGCAAATGCCTCTTGAACGATTTCCAACAGCTGTTCACAGGTGCCGGTGGTGACGCAGCGACTCCGATGAACACCCGATATAGATGTTATCCAGAGGACCCCCAAGAGAGCGCAACTCCTCTAGTGGCGGCTTTGCGCGATGAGACGCTGTCCCTCAAAGCATCAAGTGTCGAGGGTACCGCGTAAGTCTGTCACAAGACTGATAGTCATTTGGCTGTGGTGGTGATATTGCCCTTTTCCTGCGTTGGGGAAAGATGGCGGGACTGTTCAGGATACGTAGTCCGTGCATGTATTATGTTATTCAAGCTAGGTAATGCGAACCTAGAGTGTGCTAGTGAAGGTCAGCCCTGTGATCTACTCGGACCGCACGCGATCTCTCGCGAAGATCTTTTGAGCTACCTCAAGAAAGTCCTCCTAGATGATGACGCTGCGAGTCCGATCAAATTGGGGGTACCACATAGGTGGGTTGAAGGTTTGGAGCGTGGGTGTAAGGGCTGTCGGTAGGTAGCCAACACTAAGAGACGGACAGACAACGGATAACGTGGATGAGCGTGTGGATTGACAGTACGGTAAGAAGGTAAGGTGTGTCGGCGGGCGGTCTGGTCTATATACTGTCAGGCGCAAACATAGAACAACAATCGACGGTGTCCAATCATCAGAAGCTCGTCACATGTGGTAAGCACCAAGCTTACAGTGGGTTTGGGAAGGCAGTGATGCCGCCTGTGAAGATTTCTTAAACGTCTTTAAAGAACTCTTCTTAGGTGATGCCGCTGCGACTCCGATGAACGCCCGATATCAGATGCTCCCCAAATAAGTTACAATATTATGGAGAACTATATCGAAGGTACCGCGTGGGTCTGCAACGAGTCCACCCAGTTCAAGTGGCCTGACAACGCTCAGCCTTTCCTACGTCGGGAGGGGTAAAATACGTGGTCGGTGCGTGTATTGTGCCATAGAATAAGGCGCGAACCTAGAGAGCTAGTGAAGAGTAGTCCTACGATCTGCTCGAAACGCAGCGCCGCCACCTGCGAAGATCTCTTGGACGGACTCCAGCAGTTACTCACATGTGGTGGCACTGCGACTCTGATGGACGCCCGATATTTGGTGCTGCCTGTGATGACTGTGGCCGTACCAAATATCGGGAGTACCACGTGGGTCTGCGAGGAGTGCAAGTGGACTGATGATGCTCTTTTGGCTGTGGTGGAGATATTAGCATTGGGGAATGGTGTTACCTCTCTACCGGGGTACCTGTGAAAGAATGATGGGACTGTCCGTTCATTACGTGTATTGACATCTGACCAAGGTAAGGCACGTACCTAGGTCCTAAATAATGCTAGTAAATGCGCCTGTTCGAAATGCAACGCCACCTGATTGAGTCCTCTCAAGATCCGAGCAACGATCAAATCAAACAGTGGCGCTGCGATTCCGATTTCAGGCACAGTTACAAGGAAATGAATAGGAATGTCCGATGTTTCTGGGAGAACATTAACGACGAGTATCCAACCTGGAGAGAGGAGCTTTGAAGAGTAAACCTGGAAAGGCAGCGGTGCCGAAGATGTCATCAAGCGAGCTTCGAAGGTGACAACGCTGCGACCTCAATAAACTAAGGTCATCATAGAATATACCTGACATCGGGGGTACAGCATTGGGAGTGGTCTATAGAACCAAGCTTGTTGCTAGACATTCTGCAGGCGATGAGGTTGTGAGCGCCATGAGATATCGCGCCTGGACATTCTTTGTTTGAGGATAAGTGCTCGCATCGACAGCTAATTATCGTGCAAGTATGAGACATTGAGAACGATGGGTGGTAGCGAACAGAGGCAGGTACTATTTAAGTGTGATGTAAATTTACATAAGTGGGCGGGGTGTGAATTGGCTCAGTTGAGTTGAATGGATTGTTTGGAAGAACGATGTAAGCTATATAGAGAGAGTTAAAACGACAGTAATGTTTGAATCGTGCTTAGCTACGCGAGCAATCGGTGAAGCGGACCTTGTCAAAATCATATTAACCGTAAACGGACAAGTGCCTTGAACTACGGCGCCGCTCGCAGTGCCTCCATCAGGCATAGAAAAATAATCGATCGAGCAAGCGACAGCACACTGCACTGCTCACAACTGTCATCATCATTTTCAACGACGAGGACGATGGAAGCAGCGACATTACCAGCGACAACGACGACGACTGGTCTGGTTTTAACTGATTCTCCAACTGTTGCGCCGCAACGGTCCATTTTAGGATCCTTTCTTCGACGCCCAAGGGGAACTTCTACTTCACACCCACAACAACCATCACAACCAGATTCACCACCCTCTCCAACAATCCCGACAACGTTAAGACGACGCAGTTTCGCACCTCAAATAAATAATAACACAAACCTTGGTCCAATTTCAAACATACTGCGCCGTAGGCGGTCAGCTGGTACCGTCAACAACCAACCCACTCAATCCACGATGCCCGCCGCCCAGCCCCTCCTGCGCGCAACCACATTCTCCAATAATAACAACAACCAAACCCACCGTATCCGCCTGGTCCCCCACCTCGACTCCCGCCGCACGCTCCGCTTCGAACCCATAACCCGCGACCTCAAGGATAACGACACCCCCCTCCGCATCGGTCGCTTCACAGATCGCTCAGGAATCGGTCTCGCAGCAGTAAACGCCCTAAATACCAACAAACTCGCTTTCAAGAGCAAAGTCGTCTCTCGCGCCCATGCTGAGATATGGGCTGACAACGGCAAATTCTTTATCAAAGATACGAAATCTTCTTCCGGCACTTTCCTTAATCATCTACGACTCAGTCCTGCGGGCTCGGAGAGTAAACCCCATCAACTGAAAGACGGCGATATCATTCAGCTGGGCGTCGATTATCAGGGAGGAACCGAGGATATCTACAAGTCTGTAAAGATTAGGATCGAGGTAGGGAGGGAGTGGCAAGCTGCTCCTAATGCTTTCAAGTGCGTCTTCCTCCATTGATTCATATATTTGAGTCGATGTTGATCTACGTTCTAGCACAAACGCCCTCTCACAACTCCGCTCCCTCTCCGCAGACCCCCACATCCAACCACCAAGCGCCAATGCCCATGGGAAAAAACGAATGCCAAAGACTAACATCCCCGATTGTTGTATCTGTGCGTCTATCCCCTCCTTCTCTTCCTTCCTTATCTCCCCGTGCCACCGCATGCTATCTCACATGCTAATATAACCCACAGGCCTTTTTGCAGTCACAATCCGCCAAGCCCTCTTCATAGCCCCATGTAGTCACGCCTTTCATTACAAATGCATCCGCCCCCTCCTCGAAGCCCACACCTCCGCATTCAGCTGTCCCCTCTGTCGCACATTCGCAGATCTCGACGAAGACGTCGAAGTCGAGATCGAGCCTGAACCAGAAGCTGAAATAGAAGTTATTTCATCGCCTGAGGAAGACGACGAAGAAGAAGAGGGGGGCGGGGGCAAGGATAAGCTTGCCCCTCCGATGGTGAGAGATGGAGCTGAGACGGAGGTAGAGGGCGAAGCGAGGGGTACGCGCGCTAGGATACGGACTGCGGGGCATGTCGTCCATCCTCAATCACACCCCCACCCAACCTCCCAATCCCATCCACCCCGTGATGACGCAGATATCGACGAAGAGATGATGGACCTGATAGATATCGATGTTGATTCAGATGAGGGAGATGTAGATGTGGGGGTGTTTCTGAGGGGGATGGGAACGGGAATGGGAGTGGGAGCGGCAATGGGAGTACAGAGGGGATGGGTATCGAGAGCGGCATGGGAGGAGTGGCGATGGTGGTGGATGGGGAGGCCATTATCAGTGGGAAGCGGAAACGTTGACAGTCTGGCCGGCGCTTGTATAAGCATGCGTTTCCTTTCTTCTTTCCCTTTCTTTTTCTTTGTTCTTTACGCCAAGCGGCCGGAATCCGAAGATTATCTTATTTCGTTGTTGTTCATCATATCAGGAGCTCAGCCTACTATGGTTTTGTACACTTAGCTTTGACATCGCATGGTATTGCGCATGTATGAACGTTCATCACAAGTTATACATACTCTTACATAGGTTCCAAACAGTTTCATACGTTTATCACTTTACATACATACTTACACTTATATCTCTCCCTTCATTCCCTGTTTTCGTTCCTCCCCACTTGTCCTTGATATTATCCTACCCACACATTTCGTCCTTCCATTCGGATACTTTTACGACGAATTGTTAATAAACTTGTTGTAATGTCCATGCGAGTTGTGCATTTGGACCTACTCAAATGTCTGAAGGAGGGAGAGAAGCGCTGTGACCAATAATACTGAAAATTCGGCGCTTGTATCGTTAGAATCGTCCCAGTTGACAAGGGGAGGGGGACATACAGAATCAGAATCAGAATCAATATGTATAACGTATTCCAGCCCGATTAATGAATTGGATGTGGATGTGGACTAGGCCCCTAAAAATACCTGTCGGTGGATGAAATATGGAACTAGAACTTCAGTGCCAAGGTTTTGTGGTACGCCTAGAGGCAGTGACGTATTCCCAGAAACGCGCAGGCGGGATCTAGAAAGATGCGTCATGAGAGAGAACCAACAAAATTCTCGCGCGACGTGTCTGGTCAATGGAAGACCACGTTCTGGAAAATTCAGCAATCTAGGAATTGAAACTTCCAAAGGAGATGCATCACATGAAAAGAAAGACAGCGAGCTTCGCTGGTTTTATTTTCTCGTAATGCATCTCCTTCTCAGCGAGGTGACTCAAGAGTCCTAGTCAAGAGTCAAGATCTTATCTGGGTCTGTACTCACGCGGTGAATCTTTCGTTTCCAAAGTCTAAATCCGCTCCATGTTATGCACAGGCAACTCAGGGAGTACCATGGCGGATGAGTCCGGGACGACAGCGAAGACGCGTGTGATATATCAACACAAAGTTCGTAATTCTCTAGTGGAAGTCAGTATCGCAGGACATGATTATAACGGGGACTGAAGATATACACACGCGCTGAAGGCCTACACCACCAGCCCTGTCAGAAACGGCGTCCAAAACTCGGATAGTGTAACCTCCAGAAGATATATTTGGAGATGTCACACTGCGTCTCTCTATCGATGGGAAGAAGCCCTGGGTCAATGCACGCAAAACCTGTGCAAATTTTGACATTGGGGCGGGACATACATGCGCGGCGGCACTGAAGAGATCCAGCCAAGTAACTCGAATGGCTGTTACAATTGCATTGCGAGTATCCCAAGGCGACGCCAGAAGAAGCACAAATTCTAGATGAAAGCCGATCATAGATCATCGTCCAAGAGCGAGGCGAACGCGCAAGCCCCAGTATTGAAGAGACATCCAGTATTTCACCAGATTCACCTCTAGCAAATGTCCAAATCACCTGGATAAGAATCGGCAAAATGCCAATCGGGGAGGTAATCCAACTTGAAAGTCATCGGTATGCTGAATCGTATTGTTTTTCGGTGGAACCGTGTAAGGAGATTCAGAAACGCATCAATCCAGCATGAACATGGGCGACAGCATCGACCTGACGGTATGGAACCAGCGGGAAAAGAGAATCACTGGCAATTACGGTGTTACGTAAGTCTAAGCTGGCAGAATACTTAAGACTTTCGGGCGTTGCCGATGATCTCTTTTCTTCCAAATCCTCCATCTCAGCTATTTGAACTAACTCGATCCATGCATCGGTTGCTTGTGATTGAGTTAGTTCAACCTGGCGATGAGGCTACCTTGATTTATTATTATTATTTCCAATTTCTGTTTTTTTTTACCCTTGAGCTCGTTGTGTATCCACAAATGCAGTGCTTTCAAGAAAATTCGTAGCGATTTGGTGTACACATGGAGTTCCCGAGTCACTTGGATGAGCTACTATCCCTGTTTCTGTATTTTTGGTATGTCGTATGCAGAGCATCACGAAACAAGGATCTTGATATTTGCTGCAGTCCTTAGCTTTTCCATATATAATAATATATCGTTGCGCGTGTTATGTCAATTGTCCTTGTGACGCCGAGCGTCCAATCACTGCCTTTGGCCTATATGGTACGGTAACTTGGGCGAAGTTCATTCCACATTGATCTCAGTGGGTCAGGGAAGACAAGGAGAGAGAAGTCGGTTGTATACAAAGACTTCAATACTTGCAATGCGGCTAAAGCAAACATGAACATAAGCTCTGGTAGGTGACTCTGCAGAACCAATGTTGGACTCATTTTGAGACCTGTTCATACAATAGAAATGTTGTAGAAGTAGAATTTGACGCTTCAGAACGAGATACAGAAGATTAGCTATACTACAGCCGTGAACTGCATGATTTGAAACTCCGAGATGATGATCGACCAAATCTGACACCATATATTCATCTCTAGATCTCAAACTTTCGAAGATGTAGTCAGACTGGACTGGTGATGAGTCTAGTAGCCCACTCCATCACTGCCCCCATACTATAGGTGGATAACTTTATGTCATTAATTGTCTCCTTCTGACCGCTTGTACAGACCCATCACTGTGTCCCTAGGTGAAAATTGGCCTGCTCTCTTGATGGTATCATAGCAGTATTCACACTGATATTAGAAAAGGGTGAGTAATCAGGTGAAAACCAGATGCAAAGAGAACTGTTCCTACTCACACCACTAATGATACCAATGTTTTGATTGCAGCATTCAGTGAGCATGTCGTGACTCAAAGTTCCATTGTCTTCATGCTGGCCAAGCAACACCTACAAGTTATCAAAGCTTGTCAGCCATGTGAATCAGAAGAGAAATGGAATATATTTTGATGCAGCATGACGTAGTACATGTGAGTGTGACATGTCAGATCCTCCTGCTAATCTTGCTAAGTACCTGTCTATAATCGCCTGCCTGTATATACCGCCCTGCTTACTCACGGACCTATGCTGGTTGGTTGTTGCTTTTTAGGTATCTCATGGTTAAAATGATTTGATAACTGGGAAGCTCCAACCCATCAGGCCTGTGCAACCTTACCTCCGTCAATGCAAGTCTACCCTTCCATGCATGCCAGTGAGTTCCCATCCCAACACTACATCTCTGCTGTACCATCCTACTTATTAGTCTACAGTATGTCGGAGATCCTGTACTCACCTCAGGCATTACTTGTTACCTTTCTCACCTTTGTTCTTTGTTCCTTACCTCAAGCGGTGTCATATCCACATATCCGGATCTCAGATCTGACCCTTATCTCATCTCAGATCCACATCTTATCTCTGATGCTATCCACATCTTATCCCCCTCCAACGTCTCATCATTCAATCTGTCCACTTGTCTGGTCTGGTCCACAACTCATCCAAATCCACAACCAGCACTTGTCTCTTTTCGGTAACCCCCTAACTCCGGTATTTCAGTTATCTGTATATCCGTCCTGCTCCCTTATCTGCTACCTATGCTTCATTTCTATTTCATGATTTGTGATCCGTTTCTACTTACCAATAGACTATCCACATGCTTTGTACATAGCCTCGGACTCTGCTGATTGATCATTCTGTTAGATACCTATAGTATATAACCTCCTGTAACTTTCTGTAGTACCTCAGTTTGAATATCATCTTAGTTCTACTCATTCCTGTCCTCCGGACTTGAGTACCTCTACTCTTGTCACCCTCTGAGACTCAGGATTGATTCCTATAGTCTATCTGTATCCGCCTCTGTCCCCAACATTCCATTACCATTAGTTTCTAGTCTGGACTCGTCCAGATTAGCCTTATGATACTTATCCCTCATCCAGAAGTCATCTGGATCCATTACGCTACTCGTCTGACCTTCCGGATGCGCTAGTCTTGCCTTCCTGAAATAAGGGGCAATACTCGGGTAAGGGGCACAGTGCACAAGCTGAGGCCAAAGCCCTTCAGATCCAGTTACCTTTTGAGTACAACCTTAACAAGCGGCCGGAATCTGAAGATTATCTTATTTTGTTGTTGTTGTTCATCACATCTAGAGCTCAGCGAAAGGAAGAGGAAAGAAAAATGCAGGCAGAGGAGCACGAGGCTTTGCCTCAAAGATGGAACGAGTCCAGAGAATGGCAATGACAATGATCACAGGCAGGATGAGAACCACCACTACTGACATCCTTGATGCACATGCTAATATCCTTCCTTTCCAGCAACTTTTATGCAAAGTATGTCATAGAGCTACTCTATGCATGGTAACACTAGACAAGACCCACCCCCTCCACAAGGGCATCCACACTGCGTACAACTCATGTACCAGAAGGAACTTCGAAAGTTGTAAACGACACCCATCACTGCTACATCGTTTACTCAATGAATTCAACCTTAACCCCCACACCATCAAGATCATCGACCCAACACGCCACTACCCCAAGTGGATACCCAATGTCACCACGGAAACAGAAGGAGACATGACGATGGCAGTGAGACAGGATGCAGAGGCAGAGGAAGACCTGCGAGTCTACTCAGATGGCTCAGCAATAGATGGAGAGTGGGAGGAGCAGCAGTGTTAATGAAGAATGGAGAGATGGTTAAGGAAAGATGGTTCCACCTAGGGAGTGACCAAGAACATATGGTCTATGAGGGAGAGCTCATAGGGATGATATTAGCAGTGGAGATACTGAGAGAGGAGAGAAAAGGAACCATGTCCCTGGGTGTTGACAACCAGGCAGCCATACAAGCCACCAAAGCATTCATCTCCAAGCCAGGGCACTACCTCATGGACAAGTTCCATGACGACCTACACAGCCTCATCCCAGCACATGACAACTGCAAGTTGACAATACAATGGACGCCAGGCCACAAGGGGATACCTGGAAACAAAGCAGCTGACAAGCAGGCCAAAAGAGTGGCCAGAGGAGAAAGTAGCATACCCATGGAACTCCCAAAGTCTCTACTCACCACCAGAAGCAACATCAAGCTCACCCTCCCAATAAGTAAATCAGCACTGAAGCAGAGATTTAGAGGAGAAATCAAAGCTGAAGCAGCAACCATCATGAAGAACTCACCACACTATCAGCACCTTCACGACATCGATGAGACCACCCCATCAAAGCACTTCTCCATGCTGGTAGAAAAGCTCCCACAACAACATTCCTCTCTGCTGTTTCAACTTCATACAGGGCACACCCCCTTGAACAAGCATCTACATCGAATAATGAAGGTCCCCAGTCCCACCTGCCAGCAATGTCATCACAGCAAAGAAACAGTACACCATTTCTTACTCATCTGCCCAAAGTACACCAGACAACGACTTGCACTCCAGAATGAGATAGGTCCCCAAGCTAGTCAGCTCAAGAACTTGTTGAGCAACCAAAAATGCATCAAACCCCTACTCCACTTCATAGCGAGTACATGCAGACTAGAACAAACATTTGGAGATGTCAACCCCCCCACAGATGATGAAGAAGATGAAGCAGACAAATGATCCTCTATCGCCTTTAGCTGGCCTTACCTGTCCTCGTGTCACACCTGGACCAATGAAAGCACATCAAACGAAATTCGCAAAGCAATAATGTAATGAACAAGTATATACCTGTATGTGTTGTCTACCATAGGGCATCACCCCAATGGACAATAAACAATGATCAAAAATAAATAAATCTAGAGCTCAGCCTACTACGGTTTTGTACACGTAACTTTGACATCACATCATATTGCGCTTGCATGAATGCTCACCACAAGCGACTTGGTGTGAGAAGGAGAAAAGAAAAAGGTAGGCAGAGTCGGGAACTGGCGGCTCGCTGCCGCTGCAAGTAAATGAGTATCGAGCACCACCGGTATAATTGGCAACTGCGAATTTTGAAACACCGTGCTTCCCCTCTCCGAGATCGACCAGCTTGGCTACGCCACTCGAGCATCCAGCATACACCAGGCTAGTTACGAGCCTAAGTGACAGGATAACAGCACCCCCAGCACCCCCAGGCCACCTGATAAGACGTCGTCCCCACCGGACAGTCTGAAATTGGCTGAGAGTCGATGCACGGGTCTGGGCTGGCTAGGCACGCTATGGATTCTTGAGCTGCTGGTACCCTCACCCGAGTGGCACGGTCAGCAGCACTGGCAGCGACAAGGATGGAGAGGTAAATGATTTGAACGAGCTTCATGATATCTGGTATAACTATGTTTCAGCCTATGATGTGACCGTATGAGGTAACCACAAACCGACAAAAGTCTGATTATGCAATGTGCGCGAAGCTACTACGACAAAGTCTTAAAAGAACTGTTATATGTTAGTTTAATGAAATGCGCATAGTGTGACGTGAGAGTCCCACTCACTGCAACAGGAGGCAATCGTCTGGGGCCATTTCAACTCAAACGTGTTGAATTTATACTTGTTCTTGTTGGCGCTGCAACTATACTCGGAGAATGTTTTATACGGAGTATGCGACCCCGATCATGATGATGAAATACATCGCCTTGGAAATCCGCACGCCAGGCGCACCAAGTTGGTGATAGTCAAATACAAGTTTGATTGAGCCAGCGGGTCGCAGTGATCGCGGGAAGGATAATTGCCGTGGCAAATTAGCGAATATTTGCATGATCCAATATTGGCCACTGCTGCTAAGCGTTCTTGCAGCGTGGCCATTTCTGAGCGGAGCACAGGGATGGTGGTCAAGAAACAACTTCAAGTTGTCAGTCACAAAAAAGTGATAATTGGGCGTAGCTATTTTACTTAATTCTCGAGGCAGCGTGACATCTCAATACACCGCGTCACTGACCCACGACCGCGTATATATCTTTCGACTTGAATGGTTTCTTGTCCTGAGCAAATTATTTGGGCCAATGACGCAGCTGCACGCTTCGGAGATTTCCCTACCTCCTGATAACGTCTATATAGCTCCATTCGCGCGACGGATCTCACAAACAACGCCTGGTACAATAGTCCCATGGTGGACGACAGGAAAGATGGGAATAGCAGCCCAATATAAAGCACACGGGGAATGGTGTCAAGTTCTTGAGCAGACGGTGAATTCAACATGCATGCAAGACTCGCAAAATAACCAGTGCGCACTATGAAAGCGAACATGTCAGTCTTGCCAAACAAATGATATGCTCACATCCCCAACGAGACCCACTTCCTGCCATAATTCCCCCAAATCGAGCTGTTTGAGAGTGAAGATGCAGATGAAGTGAAGACACGCCGGGCGCGGGGCTCTAAGGGAGGTTTCGGATGATCAGGAATTTCCGGAAGCTGTTTTTTGCTTCGTCCGCGAGTTATTGAAGGACACAATTTCCTTGTAAGGCTGACTATGAGTTCGAAGGGGAAAGTGAACGAAACGACGATATGAGACGTATAGTTAGATAGCGCGAAAATGACAAGACGAGACGTTTTAAGACTGAGACTTTCGTTGGAGTGTTGGAACGTGCTTTGGAACGGGGAATCAGCGTATGAGATTCTGCTCTTCTCCTGCTGTATTTTCTCTGAATTTCTCTCTAAGTTTGAGGTATGAGTGTACATGGGTTGTATATATACATTTTCGAAGAATAAGGAGCAAATGGTGAACGGTCAAAGCAAAAGAATCGTGGAATCTGAGCACAAGGTAAGATAATGAAAGAAAATGGAGAAGACCCGATGCGGAAGAGTAGCGCTTCTCGCATCCGCGAGTCACGTGTTTGAAGCATGGTCGGTGCGTAAAGAATATACGATCCTTACATACTTGTATTAAGAGCAAAAATGACCGAGTTAACCTCATGTTCAACTAACTTCAGCTATCGCTGTCACAGCACATCCAGCATACAGGGCTCCAATCATAAGGTGCCGTCCCTGTCGGACAACTTGAAGGTGGTTGAGAGGAACACGAGCCTTGGCAGGATAAGGTTTCTTGAGCACGAACTGCTGCCTTCACCACAGTGGGGCCGGCAGCAGCACTGGCAGCGGCAAGGATTGTGAGGTAAACAGTTTGAACGAGCTTCATGGTATCTGGTATAACTATCCATCAAGCTGTGATACGATCATGCTAGGAAAACCACACCTTAATTGTGCAATGTGCGCGAAGTTGCTATGATGAGTCTTAGGAGAGCTATTATATATTGGTTCGATGAAATGCGCGAAGTGCGACACAAGAGGCCTACTCACTGTAACAGGATGCATTCGCCTCTGGGGCCTTTTCAACTAAACCATGTTGATTTTATACCTGTTCTCGTCAGCGCTGAGTAATACTTACTCAAAGAAAGTTTTATACCGAGAAGACATGCAGCTCTGTTAATGAGATCCATCTACTTGGCAATCCGCACACAAGTCTGAGGCAGCCAAGTTAGTGATAATCAAATCCAAGTCAAATGAAGCCAGCGGATTGCAGTGATCCCAGGAAAGATAATCAGCAAACGAGTATTTGCCCAAAATCAAGTTGAAATATTGGCCACTGCTGAGCGCTAGAGGAAGGATTATGGATAATGACATCGGCAAATTAGATCAAATACTGGCCACTGCTGCGTTCTTGGAACCTCAACATAGCCATTTTCGAGCGGAGCGCATGGATGCTAGTCAAGCAATACCTTCAAGTTGTCAGAGCTTGTCAGCCATGTGAGTCAGAAGAGAAATGAAATGGACTACTCATTTTGACGCGGCGTGACGCACATGTGAGTGTGACGTGTCATTACATAACGCAGTACTGACGCTTTGACACAAATGCCCACAACCACGGCTTAATGCCATGTCAATTTTATTTGGCCCCCCAAACGCAGGCTTATCTATATGGCTCATTTCATGATGCGCACATCCCACCATCAGAAATATAGACGATGAGCTTCGTTGACCACGATGATCTGCCTATAGTTAATGATGGATCATGGTAACACTATAAGATTTTCTACAATTGGCATGATCCTCTTGCTAATCTTGCCACCTATCTATAATCGCTTATAGTACAGCCTTACCTGTATACCACCCCGCCCGCTCACGAACCTATGCCGGTTGGTCGGTGCTTTCCAGGTATCATATCGTCAAAACGATTCGATAACCGGAAAGCTCCAACTCATCGGGGCCTTACAATATTTACCTCCGACACAAGTATACGAGTCTTTCATGCGTGAGTTCCCATCCCAATACCACATTTCTGCTATGCCATCCTCATTATTATTCTGCAGTATGTCGAAGATTCCGCACCCACCCCAGGCATTCGTCTACACAACTTGGTACTGTATTGTGTGTACCTGGCACTCTGGGAGTGTAGCCAGAGTTGAGCCGACACAGTCCAGCCATATGAATCTTTCACCAATACTGGCATTTGTTCAGAATGGTTTCTTGTTTTGAGCAAATTATTTTTGTCAATGACAGCTGTAGTACGCTTCGGAGATTTTCCTACTACCTTCTAATGTTCATGTAACTCCATCCGAGCGACGAATCTCACACAAAACGCCTGGCAAAATAGTGCCATGGACAACAGGGACGATGTGAATAGCAGCCCAAGATAAAGCCCACGCGGAATGGTGTCGAGTTCGTGAGCAGGCGGTGAGTTCAACATGCATACAAGACTCGCAAAAAAGCCAGTGCATATTATGAAAGCGAATATGTCAATCTTGCCAAACAAAATGTAAATAAATGATATGTTCACACCTACAAAGAGACCCACTGCCTCGTCATTCAAGTTATTGTTATACCTCTGCCAGCCGTTTTCCTTTCTCACTTCCTGCCATAATTCCCCGAGATCAGGAAGCTTGAAGCAAATTTGCAGAGGAAGGTGAAGAAACACCGAGCACGGCCGGTACCCTTAGGGAGGTCCCAAGCCATCATGGATGTCTGGGAGTTGTTTTGCACTCCTCTGTGAGTTGTGAAGGCGAGACAATACCCATCTTTGTCGTGTCTTTCGGGATATCGCTGCCGGAGTCGAGAGGAAGGAATGTCGATAAAGCTGTCTGAATTTGTGTTGGATATGGTCGAAGGCGACCGTTGATGTGTCTTGATCTTGTCGAGCTTTAGAAGTGGTCTAGCTGGAGAATCATTGCGAGAGGAGGTCAGCGCCGACTCGGCTGGAACAGTGGGACACCTACCTGCGCGTTGTAGTTGTGAGTCGAGGCTCGACGGACCTAGTGGTTCACTATGTATGGCAGGAGAACCGGAGCATACTCAGACAATATATCTGCTTTCTATGTCAAGATTCGAACAAACTTGAACGGTATGTTGTCTATGTGGATGCATCATGTATTTGCATTTTCAACGCGCTGTAGTAACGTCATGTTTGCGCTCTTCTATCAGTAACAATGAGACAGTGCACATAGCCCATACCGCAGACAAAATAGTAGACCTTGTGTGAATCGTTTCAGATGTCAGCTTCATACTGAAGTCGCAACGTGTCAACACAGCTGAAATAACATAACGATGAGATATCCTGTGAGTGAGAGCAAGGGTCGGGATTTTCGGAGTGAGAGGTAAAATGGAGACGGCTAGACAAGACTTAAATACAGCAGTCTGTCGACTTTCGCACGAAGTAAAGTGACTTTGTCCTGAGATGGTGAAAAAAGATATTGCAGAATATCAACACTCACCATGACTTCCTTAGTGAACGACAAGTCTATAAAATTGTAGAGGGTGAATGTGAGGTGCGGAAGGGTTACAAGATATGCAGAAGGTAACAGAACCGTGACGGTGCAGGAGTCCTGACAGTGAAATGTGTGGGTCCTGGAAAGCTGGCAACGCCATCGATCATGAAGGCACTGGAGCTGGCCAGTAGTGGCGGCAGATAGGGAGGCGGCGGTACGTGTCAGGAACATGGAATCGAAAAACCGTTCATCTGCATCAGGTACAATCACCGAAGCGCCACAATGCTATATATGTAGATCTGCTGCAGATCATCAACTTAGCAACCTTATTGCATTAGAAACCTCTGACCGCTGCTACTCAGCCTATTCTTGTGCAATAAGGTGTCATCATAGCCGGGAATGACGAGATAGATATTACGGGTAGAGTAGGAACAGAAAACATATAGATATGAGATATTACAGCCGTTTGATGTCAATTGCAAATTTTTGCCACTAAAGGAAACCGATATAACCACACGTCCTGAACGGTTTCCCGCAACTTGTACACATTTTTCGGGCGTTGATTCTTTGGTTGGCCATAGTGTTTGGGTATTAAATTCAGAGTCTCCTAGTGTTGTAAACATCGTCTGAACGGCATAATATAAAAGCTGTCCCAGCGCCTACTACATGCGGAGTTGTATATCAATTTCCTTTTTGGTTACACGTGCGTGAAAATTTGAGCCACCAAAATTACCTCCTCAAACAGCTGTATAATTTGACGAACCTCGGCCGACGTCCCTGCGTCGCTCTCTCAATATTGCGTTCCTGCCTACTCCGACGTCTACGACATGGCACATAATCGCAATAATTTGCATAATTATGTCATCGACGTGCAAATTATTGCGATTTTGAGCTATGTATTGCGATATATGACCTTCTGCTTTCCTCACCAGCTCACCGATGGCCCTCACTGACTCGGATAGCTCCCCAGACGTTCATATATCTATGAGTTGTGGTTGGGTTCAAGTCTAACCTCTTTCCTCCTACCTTCTCGCGAGGGCTTGCCACGATGGGTGCCGAAAAGAAAGATGCTACTGCTTATCACACGAGCAAAGACAAATTCTCTGACGTCTCAGACCACGATGCAGAGTCTATTCAGGCTCTCCCACGGCACACCCTGCAACGTAAACTCGAGAATCGTCATATCGCCATGATTAGGTGTGTTGACTTTTCTTCTGTCTTCTGGTGCATTCTCACCTCCGTCAAGTATTGGTGGTGTCATCGGCACTGGTCTTTTTGTTGGAACCGCAGACTCTCTAGTGTATGGGGGCCCCATCGGTCTGTTGCTCGGCTACATGGTCATGGGCACCATCGTCTATTGTGTCATGATCACTTTGGGAGAAATGGTATGCTTGCTGCATGTCCCAGACGCAGATCACATACCTGATCTTTATTTCCGTAGGTTGCTTTCCTGCCTATACCTGGTGGTCACATCAAACTGGCCGAGCGCTTCGTCGACCCTGCATTCTCTTTTGCCATGGGTTGGAATTACTGGTATAGCTGGATGATTTGCTGTGCGTCCCATTCTTCCTCGTTCGTTTCTCGCAATTGCTGACCTCTTACTTTTTAGCACCTTGTACTTGAGTTTAATACATTT